TATGTTGTTGAGATTTCTTCTGCTAGTATGGATCCAGACTGGGTCACATACATTTGGACAGACTTTAGAAAGTGAATGTAAGACAAATCCAACATCATCCAGTCCTTCTGTCATATGGAAGCTATGAATAAGCGGACAACATGGCTTTCCTCTCAAGCACCTCATCCTTCTATTCTCTACTTACATGTTCCAAAATTAATAATTCCAGAAGAAGGAGTTGCGGCTTTCAAAACTCAACCTTCAGATGATGTTGCTTCTGAGCTAGTTGAGTCTAGAAAGGTCATTGTTGTAATTGGTAACTCCTTTGAGTTGGTGAAGGCTATTGCTGCTAAAGAGACTTCGTCTGGGATGAAGAAGACTCTGGATGAGCTTATAAAGGAAAATTCTCTTATTCAAGCTCATTGGACAAGCAAGATGCTAGAGCTGGTCGACATGATGCTTCTATCACTTTGCTTGCTAATGCGGTGAAGGATTTCATGACCATGATTCTGCCTCATTCACAAAACCCTTAGACCCTCGTTTTCCCTTTGTTTTTAGAACTGAGATGTTTTCTATGTTTCTAAAACTTTTTGTACCTTGGTCTTTTTGTTAATGAAAATGTTTTTTTTCTTCTGTTTAGTCTTTTTTTCTGACAAAGGAGGAGAAAGTGATATGATTTAGATATATCTAATCTCAGAATCTATTCCCAAACATTGTATAATATTTTTGCCACTAACATTGTTTAACTCGGGAACTTTGAGAAAGTTCACTGAATTTTCTTAATAGGAAAACTCAGAAGCTTTAAATGTGATTAAGAAGTTAGAGATCTAGAAGTTATGGGTTGTAAAACTTCTGCAAGAAGAAAATTTAACTAGACTCTGATGGTACATTAAAACTTGGATGCAATCAAGCTCTAATACCATCAACAAAACTCTGATGATGATGTGACTGAGTCCAAATACTCTGTACACCATAGTGTTCTGAAAGTATAGCCAAAATCTGATATGAAGATTTCTATAACACTGTTTTGACTCTGATGGTAAACCAAGTCTGATACCTCATCAAACTCTGATAGTAAGCCAAAATTCGAGATGGAGATTTATGCATCACTATTCAGAAGTGTGATGGTACGTCAATCAGAAAAGTATTCCTTTATTCCGATTGTTTTATGTTATCTCTCAAAACTTCTTTAAGTCTTGAACTCAGGGGGAGACTCTGAACAAGATTAACCAAGTTCTAGAAATATAGAAGTAAGGTGCTCAACTAACTCTAAAAATGTTTTTAATGTGATTAAGTCGGTATAAATTGTTTATCAAAATATATGGTTTTGTCATCATCAAAAAAGGGAGATTATAAGAACAAGATTGATTTTGCATATGGCCTTGAGTTTTGATGATAATATTACATGGGTAATTAGATAACAATTTAGTACCTTAATGGGTTGTTTAGTGTCTAGCTTTTGCTAACAGATTCTGTCTCTGAAGAATTGACGTGTGATGTCATCAGATTCTGGAATCAATACACTGAAGAATAAAAGTTTGTGTTTCATGGCTTAGAATGCGTCTTAAAGTAACAGTTCTGAAAGAAAGTTAATTTTATTGCTTCTAATTATGACTCTGTAATATAGGTTCTGATGTGTTCTAAAGCTCTGAAGATTCCAAGATATCTTGCCCAAGTTCTATAGATTCTAAAGACTAGGTTATGTTGAACGAGTTTTGAAGATTCTGAAGACCAACGCTTCTCTATACTGAATTTTGAAGACTCTGAAGACAAGGTTTTATTGAGAGAAGTTATAAAGACTCTGAAGAAAATTTTATAAAGACTCTGGAGACCAGGTGCTGAAGATTCTAAAGACAACATTCAGATTGAACAAGTTCTAAAGACTCTGATGATATGGTTCTGGAGACTTAGCTTTGATCCTTCTACACATGATTCAACCATTATACATCAAGAAGCCTCTAAAGATTAGAAGATAAGATCAAAAGGTTTCATGTGAGTGATAGTGCAAGGTACAACATCATCTCGCCTCCACTGTGCTGGTTTTGTGGCGCAAATACAGTACTTTCGTACTAGGTTATCTATCACTCTATTACTGACTGTTGTAAGAAAACAACGGAAATTTTGGTATTCCTATTCTACCCTCCAACGTATTTCTTTTCATATATAAAAGGAAGACTCGTAAGAACTAGAAATGTTGAAGAACTTTGAAGAATCTCACCTTATTCAAGTTGCTGAAATGCTCCCAAAATAATTGTAATTTTTGTAAAGCAAGAAGTTGTTGCTCGTTAACTTACGAGCAAGGAACTTTTGTTCGTTAACTTGCTTAACACTTTTATGTTATTATTTTTACTTCAATCTTGTGTAATCTGCTTATAAGATGCAATCTTGTAAACACAAAATCTATATTCAACAGTGAGTTGATTGTTCCTTGAGTGACTAAAGTATTAGTCTATATACTCAAGAAGTCATTGACAATTTGTCTTTGAGGTTGGTTCCTTGAGTGACTAAGTATTATTTTGTATACTCAAGAAGACAAAGACAGTTGGCCTTTGTGGTTTGCAACAGTGACGGGTAGTCTTGTTGTGGTTCTATAATTTGTTTGATTATAGTGGATTAAGTCCTTATTGAGAAGGTAAAATCACTTTGGTGGATGAACTGGATTAACTTCGTTAACTGTGAACCAGGATAAAAATAATTGTGTTCGTTTATTTTTATTCTTCAGTTAATAGGTGGTGTTTGAGTTTGGAGAAATTTTATTTTGATTTGTGAGTTCAGCCATCAAATTTTTTTTTTTTGATTTGAGAAATCAACGTGTATAAAATCTCTCATATAAAGTTTACATGTAGATCCTTAAAATTTAAGTTTGTCTTAAAGGGAGAATATGTATAAAACCTCTCATCTATTATAATAAAGTTTATGGACATGTCTTTAAAAGCTCAAAATATTTTCTTAGTAAATCTCTCCAACAAAATATTCACATGGAGAGGAAAATGCCAAGTGATAAGTCTAACTTTTATAAACTCTTGTGCATTTTCTCTATTTATATCTCTTTATTCTTTAATTTTTTTTCCTTTCTAAATATTTATTTCTATTTTCCGCCGCTTTATCTCTACACTAACACAAATATTTTTCAAATTAATTTTTTTAACTGATCCCGATTTTTAAGATCACAATTCACCATATCCCTTTTTATATTTGGAATCACTTCTTCAACATCTAAATAAGTACTACTGCATCATTTATAAATCAAATATATGAGAAAACCACATCATTTAAAATGCCACATATCATAAAAAAAAATCTTGTAAAATTTTAAATATAAGAATTAAAATCTTAATCTTAAAATAGATGAACTCAATAGTTCTACAAACAAAATAGAATAAGGAATAATACACTAACATAATAAATTAATTTTACACGGTCAACTAATAACGATCATGTATTCCTTCTGCCACATCAAATTTATATTTTTAAATTATTTTAATGATTTAGTAAATTGTTAGTTTTCTATTTTATTCTAACCAAAAATGTATTTATTAAAACGGGAAATAAATTGGATCATTATCTATGATAGAAACATAATTTTTATTAGAAACATCGTTTACCATATAGTGAAATTTTCTTTTAGAATAAGATTTTGTCTTGTCTTTATTTTTGTTGTTATAATTATTAGAATTAAAAAGAAGTGTTGAGAAGGTATCTAATTATACTATTACGTGTATGTTCATTGCAGGTAGATGATGACCCATTCCCAGTGTATTATAGACACGATGACTTATTTTAATGTCTTTTCACCCTAACAATGCAAGTGCACATCCTTCTCATGAGATGATAGGAGAGTACATGCTTCACCCTAGATAGAAACTTCATGTGTACATTCATTCAATTATTCAAAACAATAATCAAATGCATTGAATTATTCAAAACAATAATCAAATGCCCAACCTTAAATTCATATCGGTTGGCAAGCCTTGGGTTAGGTAATTTATCCCAATAATTTGAATGTTGAACTTGAACATTGATACACAAAATGAATTTAAAGTACTTTCAATTTCAATTGATGATTTCATCTCCACTTTCAATTTAATACTAATAAGATTAACGTTATTTGTTAGTCTTTTTTTTTTATGAGTACACATATATTTATTAGTGAGGATTGTTAGCAAATACTACTATATTTATTAGTGGGGACAAGAACAACTACTGAGCACAAGACAAGTAACCCTTCCATTTTGTAATTTTTGTAAAACAAGAACAAAAACAAAAACAAAAGTTATTTCATGGGGCTAGTGTAGATGAAACAAAAAAGTGAGGAAAGAAACAAAATGGTTTGTAATAATTCAGTACGACAAAGAAACAAACCGTAGTGACATATCACAAGTTAACAATAATTTTATGTTCGGACCACTATCTTCTGAAAGATATACAATAGTAGTTCCTTGACTCTTAGAGACAATTAATAATTCACATTTCGCATATAATCAATAACTAATACTAGACAGCAACCCTTCAAAAAACACATAGGACAATTATGTTACGGTTTTGACAGTATTGCAGGATTACTTTCTTACTTACATACCTTTCTGCATTTTAGGTGCCACAATATACAAAATTGAAACATCGTATTTTTAATCTTAATTATGGGTGTTGCTTTCGTGGCTATGTGTGGGATGTTAGAAGGAGTGTTTTGTTTGTTACTAAGCAGCACCAGCACCCTTTGAGGTTATTTGAACTATTATTGCTCTTTAGTCAGAGATCCTGTAGTAGGGAATCTGTCATAGAAACTGATGTCAGCTAGTGTACCGCTTTCTTCACGGTTCATTGGAAGCCTAGCACTCAAATCCATCAAATCCCCATCAACAATTCTGGATTTTAGTGCTGTGTTGATACAAAACTTTCATGTGCACCTGTTAACTTTTCACTGGTGGAGATTACAAAACTGATGGCAAAACAGCATATATATACATATTCAAGAATCATTCAGGAAAAGAAAACATCTTATATAAACTTGGTTGTTGGATATGGTAAATAGGAGCATGTTGATGTCCTTGAATTATCCTTCTTTTCTGGTTGGTGTTATCTTTAGAAACAGAACGCATACTCAATACAGAACAAGATCGTCGAATTCGAGTATATCTTCAGTTTTTCTGACTGATGATAGTGGAAACTTTGAGGAACCAAGATCGTCAAATTCTTGCATCATGCTAAGCCAACAAAACACTATTGGTGTTATAGGAGGAGTATCAGTTCTATCAACTCTTGTTTTCTTAGAAAAAGTAGCTTGTTGGAGTTCAAGGAATGGTAAACAATGTCCACCTTTTGTTGTCTGCAGTGATCCTGTGTTGAGCAAGGCACTTTCGTTACACGGTTCTTTTCCTTCTACAAGGAACCGAATGGACCACATAAAATTGAATCAAGAGTTGATGATTCAGAATTTGCGGCACAAGAGAAACATTCTTCATCAATCCGGAGCCCGCGGTTTGGCCTTGCCTTGTCATCTGTCACATGCTTGGCACAGTGAAATTTCACAAGACAGTTCTCTACCTATTCTTCATGTTGGTGACTGTGTGGCAATGGAACTCAAGAATGCTAAGATGAAGCCAATTCATGCTGCGAATACCGTGAGGATTGGACTTCTCACTACTGATTCATCCTTTGTAGTTTGTTATTACAAGGATAAGCTTCAAAGTCAGGTATTTCAGATGTTGTTTTATTTCTCTCATGTCAATCAGTAATCCAAATACTTTGCAAGGTTAGTATTATTTGTAGCTTTTAAGTTATGGTTTTACAGGGTTTTGAAGTAGTATTGCTAGACAAAGAGACCGAGGAACACATACTAATTCCTGCAATGGAGGCTTTGCAGAGAAAAGACATAGAAGGTGCAAGGAATTTGCTGAGAATTGCAATCCATGTTCTTTTGGTTAGGGGAGTGAATGTGGTGATTCTGGCATCTGATGATTTGCTAGGGATTCTCCCTCACGATGATCCTATTCTTAGGAAGTGTATAGATCCCATGGATGCTTTGGCTAGATCAATTATAAACTGGGCAGAAACAACAGCAAAGATACCTGGGGGATTTTAGCTCTCCTTTTCCCAAAATTCTTGGAGCATATCTGTAAAAAAAGCAGCTCAATGTGAGTGGGCCCAAATACTATCCAATAGACAGGGTTGGATCCTCTCCTCTCATTTTTCTCTCAATTTCACTCTCTTTCTTCAAAAGAAAATGATTGTACAAGAGAGATAGAGAGCTAGGAGAGAAATTGAGAGAAAAAGGGAAGGAGAGGATCCAAAATGTTAATAGACCTATCACCCCATCATCTATCCATTCTATGCAGGTTATCTCTGCATCACCTCTCTTCTCTTTTTCTCTGCTGTAGAGGCATTAGAGGACCATGAAAACACTTTCTCGAAGAATCGGATTCACAACAGTTCTAGTCAGTTCAACAACTACAAAATCGTTAGATTGAAGTTAATTTTTCTTTTCCATTGATGCAACGACTGTAGGTGTTGCACTGTGTACAACACTCGCCAAGGGAAATTATCATATAACAATAAACAAATTGATATGTAATATATATTGGAAATTGGATTTTGCATCATCTGCAAGAATAACATGATAGGTGTAGTGTGTGTGGTTATTCTATTTTTAAAAAAAATGGAAAAGAGAAAAAATATTAATTAATTATATGACACTAATGACAATATTAGTGCCAACTCGTAAGAGATTTGAATTCCGCCCTTTGAGGTTACACGCAAACTCTTAGTACCACTAAGCATTTGAAATGTTGCAGAGCTTTGCAGATTTAAGTATCAGTTTCTCATAAAATCATCCTCCGATAGAGGGACATCACGTTCTTCAGTGTTTCTTAGATATGCAGTATGACACAAACTTTGAAATCTGGAAAATGTGAAGAATGTAGTCTCCAATAATGAGATGTACATGAAAAAATAGTGTGAAATGAAACCAAAAAGTGAAACTCTCCCAAATGAGGAGTGTAATCTACAAACAGTTTAATGACAACTTCACATCAACAGAAAAATGATCCATAACATAATAAGATATCTTTATTCCCATTGCGGCATTGGAAAAAGAATTTGTCATGGAATCAATAGGTTTTACTATTTCGGTAAATATGGACTGAATAGTTTTCTTTGAAATGCATCAACACCATTTAGTGGACATTTTGAGCTGAGAAGGCCCAAGAGGAAATAAGGTGATGAGCTATTGCAATAGGTCCAGGAACAAATATTGGAGCAAGTTCACCACTTTCCACGTTGAAATCACTCGCCAAGCTCCTACTCTTTTCTACTCCCTTGCACATTTGTTCTACCTTTGATGCTGCTGTTCTTTGGAGTTTTTTATATTCGGCCAACGTTAATGCTTTTTGCACGTCTTCTCTACTGAACCACTTAACATCTAGATAAGAAAATCGCAAAATCAGACTATAAACAAATGCAAAGGCTATGAGAAACTGCCGTGCGAAAATAAATGAAAATAATCTGCATAAGTTCATAACGAAAAGAAAGTACTTGCATACACCTCATGATTTTAGCCCAGAATTCAGCCATTCCACAAACATACACATAATGTATGTAACTTTGTCTCACTTATAAATAATTTTTTTTACAAGTTAACTCATTACATGAAGTCATTTATAAAAGAGTAAAGGAAAAAATGAAGGATTAGATGGTAAATAGGGGAGTGTCATTAAACAATGGAAATTAACCTACCTTCTAACTCTTTCTTGTCCACAGTTATTTCACGGGATTTTGCATATGCGAAGAACCCAACCATCAGCTGGCATGGAATGCTATTTGAACCAACTAGCAACATAGGCAAGATAGAAATGATAACATTAATAAACAAGAGGGGAAAATATATTGATAAACTCAACAAGAAAAATAGTATAATACACATCTAATTGTGTTGGTTATTCATCATGACATTTGACTATGTTAACCTATACTGTGTTAACTCATCTAATTGTATGGAATTGACAGAGGATTTTCTATCACAATGTTAACTCAACTCCATAATCACATGTCTCTCAAAAGCAAACAACAGAGAAATAATAAAATTATAAAAGCATAAGGTTAAAACTAATGTTAAGCGATGTAGCATAAACCATACCAGGCCATGGCTGAGAACTGTGATATACAACTTCTCCCACTTCAATACCACTCTCTTCCCAAGTTTCTCTTCTCACAGCTTCCTCCAAGCTTTCTCCTTGCTAGATGCAACAAAACGATACAAACTAATAAGAAATTTATAAACATGGAGAGAGTGAAAAGACAAAAAACTAAAACTAAGTACATAACAAGGAAATTCTCGAGTCCCTAAAAAACGAGGATTCCTTAAAAATGGTCAAGACACGCACCTCGGTGAAACCGGCTAAGCAGCTCCACACTCGAGAAATAACCTTCGGTCGTGTACCCAAGAGGACACGGTCATTCTCTCTATCAATTACAAGCATAATTACCACCTAGTACACAAATAAAGCAACAAAACAACGATAAAAAATTATAAAAAAAAACACTGATGACCATACCATTCATAAAATCAAAACAGTACAACAACAAAAAAACAACAAACCGGGTCAACACGTGGATATATCCTTTTCTTGCAAGAATCATTGGAACATTGCCTCTTTCTCCCAGCTTCCACTGAGATAGTCTTCTCTCCACAACGTCCACAGAATTGGGAAATATTATGCCATTCTAGCAGTGCCTTGGCCTGTCCATGCCAAACCAGTAAAAGTCAGGAAGTTGCATTGACATTGATAGACTTGTAACCGGCTTATTTGAGGTTATCTATTAGCAAAATACCTAACTTACTTGACCAGCAATAGCTAGGTTTTGCATTGCTTTGAAATCTTCCCAATCTGTGGCCACCATGATAGTTCGGAGCTCCACAAAACACGACTCCACGTTGGTGTTGGAACCCAATTGAGGTACCTTAGCGGAAACATCGATTGCCCAGTAAATGGCATCATCTTCTGCAGACGAACCCAAGTACACCAATGAGTCTCCATTCAACCGGGCACCTGAGCTTTCAAAGATAGCTTTGAGATCGTCCAAACTGATCCAAGCCAGATGCCAAATCGGCGGAGAGTGATCGGACTCAGCCGTGGATGAGGCTAAAGGACTTCCGTTTCTGAATGGAAGCACCTTGAAATTGGGAGAAGGAGGAGAGGGGTCGTTTTGGAGAACTATTGCGTTGAGGGATTTGAGAGCCGCGGAGGGTGAAAGTGGGTCGGCGGGAATTGAGCTTAGAGGGTTCCCGGCGAAGGCATGGAAGGGTAAGTTTATTGACATAGCAGTTTCCGATGGACGAAATTTACAGAAGAAATGAAGTTTTGGAAAAAGGATTGTAGCGGAAGAAATGAGGAGGAAAATGTTGAACCGTGGTGTTTTCAAAAAGTGCAAAGTACGATAGGAAAGAAGGGTAAGTGTATATGGTAATGACACGTGTACCATTTTAGTTTGGGTCCCACTACATATCAACTCACAATATTCCATCATTGAAGAAATTTGGGTCAAACTCACTCCTTAGTAATCACACAACCTATTATTAAGAAGTGTCTGCAGGTTCATTTAGATCAATTTTAAAGCAAAAATTTATCTATTTAAAAATAAATTTATTTGTGGTTTGATTTTGAATGATATATTAAAAAAATTTAATTTGATTTGATTTGATTTAATTTTATACATTAATTTAGATCGATTTTTGAATATCTAAATTATATATTATATTTTTATTAATATTATAAAACTACTAATAAGTCATAGATTTGATAAATATATAATATATACGATTTTTTTTTTTTGAAATGATTAAAAAAAAGTTTCGCAAATAACCATGTTTCGAAGAAAATTATGCAAATAACTATGTTTCAGAAAACCCCACAAGAGAGGAGTCAACTCAGTTGGCGCCTACACCTTATTTTAAAGGGGAGGCGCCATCTCACTTGGCACCTAGGTGTGAAATGTTTGCCCTAAGTCAAGTGAGATGGCGCCTTAGTGCAATTGGGAGGCGATTTTTCGTGTTTTTTATTTTAAATGCGGTGCGTTACGTATTCGATATTGGATCAACAAAATTGACTTTTTATTTACAAAATATGATTACACACATAACGATTACATAAAAAAATACAAATTAATCAGTGGTCCCCGGAACCCGGTAATGACCCCCGGTTCTGCATCCCCGTCCTCGCCTTTCCCGTGTTGGGTTTCGTTGTGTTTCCTGTTGTGGCAGGGTCGATGGCCCAGCAAAGTCAATGCATTCCGGATCTTTGAAATCGGTCAGATCTCCATATCCAGAAGATCCGCTTTGGTACAGTCGGTTGCTCATACCCTCAAAGTTTGGTCGTGTTGGTGGTGGTTGGGGTTCCATGGTTGGTCTGTAGCACTGATCGTCTGAGTACGGGGGGTAGAAAGGAAATGGATCATGGGGTGTTTGGTATTGAGGATGTTGACTGCTTTGGTGATGTTGTGGTTGATGGTAAGTTGGGTCAGTTGGTTCATAATCTTTGGACGATCCCAGGTCAGGGCTAAGGTTGGATGTTGAGGGGCCCATATTGGGATATGCAGAAGACTAAAATTGTGTGTGGGGTATGCGGGTGTATTGGTATTGTGATTGAAATTGTGGTTGAGTGTGAGGCATATGGGGGTATTGGTACTGAGGTGGTGATTGTGGGGCATGTGGATGTAATTGTATTGTGGTGGTGACTGTGGTTGGGTGTTTGTGGTTCTGTTTCGTCGGGGGGGGGGGGGGGGGGGTCGGTGGGAGGTTGATGTGTGTTGTTAGGGAAATGAGGGTTATGCCCATTATGTTAGTGGTTCAACCAAATACCTTGGATGAGACACGTGCATTTCAGGGGTACTAACCGATCTGTACCAAGATAAATACTGATTCGTGTGTCGCATATTACCATGGTTGAGGAAAACTGGGAATTGCAAGACATGTCAGTGACGCCTCTGCCACATCTTACACCATTCTTGAGCAAAATCTTTCCAGTTGGTAAGACCCCATTAGGCGTCGACCCTTTTGAGATGCCACGGGGGTAAACAAGTCGGATCACC